CATTTTCTATTTAATATCATTTTTGTTTGCATCTTCTCTATTATAGACATGAACAATTCGATTATAGAAAAAAGATATAAAAATCCGATTGAGCATGACAATGTTAGTTGGCTTTTTTTATCTATGACCTTCATTTGATTGCAAGCAAGGAAAAAAAAAGACAATATATACCCGATTAGAGTCATTTACAGTTTATAATACACGTTCATAATCTGATAAAAATTATCAAACGTCTATATGAATGTGTGTGCTATCGGCAATGAACCGGCTCTCTTCTCTTTATCCTTCATGATTAGGACTATTAGTGGTTTATGATACAATCGCACATACGCAAAGAGGCATAGAAAAGAAAAGAATGAAAGCGTAAGAGGTCCTCTTTCGCTATGCAGGCTATGTCTGTCATATCTTAGTTTACAATATTGAACATTAACACATACGTCGCCTGATGTCTCCTTCAGAGCCAGGACGAGGTAGTGCCAGACAATAGGCACATTATAATGAAACAGAGATGGAAACAAGGCAGAAGAAAAGAAAGAATGTCATTGTGTGGATAATCCTTGAAGCAAGGTTATCAGTGGCATTCGTTCCGTTTTAATATATCACCATCTATTCTCTCACACACAAGAACTGTCAATGAGAAAAATGTAACTGACAAAGAATGATGATAGTGACAGGCCAGACACAATATATTCATCGTCTTTGTCCAGACGAATCCATCATCGTCCTGTCATTTCATATGTCACTGCATGAGTAAGATAGATATATTCGTTTTAGTATATCAGGTATGTTTAAAAATTCATTTGGATATTCTTTTTTTTTTTTTATAGATTTTCATATCGATTATCAATATATTCTGTTCTTGATTTTGTCTTTTTTTCTTTTTTTTTGTTGTCTAATAGTACTTATCTACTCTTGATATTTGATGAGTATGAGTAATCGAATTGTCAAAAAATCACTATCGACAACGGCAACATGTACTTGTATCATATGAAGCCATAATGATGAAACAAGAGAGACGTGAGGTAATAGATAGATAAATCAAGCGAATAAAGAACTACACACATCATTCAGTTTGACAACACTGATTTTGTCACATGCGCCTCGAGCAAGCTCATCCTACACATCAAGCGTTTATAGCTACTCCGTTATACTTGTATCGTCTTTTTTCCTTACTTCTTTTTCTTAATAAAAGAAATTGCGGAAAAATTCTTCATTCCCTTGTTTCCTTTGATTGTTGATTGTATATGTAACGCTTCTTCATATAATCATCATCATCATCATCTTCATCATGTAAAAATTTCATTTGTCAAATCAACAATCAATTGTGACACATCATCAAATAGTTCATCTGTTGTTTTGTTGTATATGTTCATGCATTTGTATACATATCGGATCAATTAGGTAATACGATCGTGTCCGCCTGTATGTCGCCATTCATTGATTGTTAACCATATTGTTGTTATAATATTTCTTCTTTGATGTTATGCTATTCGCAAACCTTTTATTCGCATTATTTTACTGTACGTCTGTAAGAATTAATGATCGCGCGTGGAACTATGATTAGGAAAGCAAAAGGCAATTGATCGGTAAACGACATTGACTAATGGTTGATAACGGTGATGTGTGATTTTCACAATAAGAAAAACATGTTCATCATTTACTCCATATTGTCTATGTTATTTCATAATCATAGATGCCTACTAGTCACATCTTGAACAATATTATGAACATATGCATGATATGAAAAAAAAGAGATTATTTTTTCATGCTGTGCTCATATATAGATATAAATACACATAGAGAATCGTATGTAGTTAATATAATCTTGAGCTAATAAGTCTTAGTCTTTTTCTAATAGAACAAACGAATAAAGAGAATAGAAGAAGAAACAAAAGCCGGATATAAGAGACATTTGAAGACGATTGTTATCTAGTAAAACTGAAAAGAACGCAAAACATATTTAATAGATGTAGGAAGATTTTATCTGCTTATTATTCATCAACATAGGGAATACGTTATTCTCATTTAAAAATAGCATTCTAGAAGATCCAATCAACAACTAATCAAAAAGTAGTCATAGTTCTAGTCAATATACGTGTGTGAGTTCCTTTCGATCAATTTTGTTTGTTTGCTTTTCCTAAATAGTAGTGTCTGACGTGTATATGGCTTGTTATCTAGCCTCATCATCATACTTTCTTTCTCTCTCTTGATTCGTTTTTCTCTTAACTTCCTCTATGGGAACCTTTTACATGCATATGCATATACTCTGTCTAGTAGTGGAAAGAAGAATTCTGACATTCTTCTTTTTCTGTTTCTTCTATTTATTAGGGCATTCATTTTGTCATATTTTTTTTTCGTTACATTAATCAAAACTAAATATTTCTTCTAACTAGAAATGACATATGAAAAAAAAATTCTTCTATTGATTTTTTTCTAGAAAGAAAAATAATAAATCTATTTATGTCCGACATTTCTCTCGTCAAGATGATAAACTATTACAATGGTTTGTTTATTGCATAAACTAAGTGAGTATTTCGGAGACATTACCATAGAACAAACAGAAAAACACATTAGGACAGCATGATCCAAAGATGACATTATACTATCATGTTTCTCAATGCTAAAAAAAAAAAAATCACTTGTGTACTTTTTATTTTTATTTTTGAATCGAAATAAAGAGACAGTTAACGAGAAAGAATAAAAATTAGTTATCAAAAAGAAAAAAGAAAATGTATATATCCTAGAGGGAAATAAAATATATTATTAACTTCTTTAATTCAACACGTTGTTCGTTCGTCACATAGGAATCATAATGATATGTTATTTATTTATTTCTATTCATTCGTCATTGAAATAGATAGAAAAATATCGATAGGGATTTGTCAATGTTACTTTTTGTTTGAAGGATATAATTTTAGTACAATTATATTCTTCTCAATCGTAATATATTTAAAAATAAATGAGGAAAAAAGAAGAAATCTTGCAAACATTTTTTTTTTTCATCCTAATTATTATTATCATCATTATTAATATTATTTCGTATGTGGTTTGATTATTTCAAAAAACAGGAAAGACATGGAGATTAATGTTTATAGATTGTTAAACATGAACATTACAAATCAAAGTATGTACATAGATTTAAGACGAAAGAGTATATCTAATGAGATGACAACTTATTCGTTTGTTATATCATTAGAAAAATGTCAAGTGCATTAAAAACCACTGAATTTGTTAGGAAAAAATATATTTTGTATTTACGGAAGTCTGCATTGTTGGCAAAAGGAAATAAGGACAACAAGATTTTCGTAAAAATCATGCCATTCTTCTTAGTTGATGAATGTCGTTGTTCTTTTTTTTACCTTATTGTATTTTCATTATTCATTCATCAATGAGTTTTTTGCTGACAAAAAAAAAAATTAATGAACAAAATTAATAAATTTTAAAAGAAAATAATAACAATTTTGTATAGATATCAATTTCCTTCATATATTACATTTGATGACATATCTTAGAATTTAAGGCTTAAATCAATCATTCCAGTTACAAATTAACGACTTTTCTTCAATCTACTTAGTCTAATTGATAGGCATAATACATTCTTGTATTCATTCGATGTTTTCTTTTTCTCCAGAGTTAGAATAGAATCAATCTTACAGTTAACGCTATTACTAAATAGGTCTGAAAAACAAGCAATAAAACCCATCGATAAGTAAAACGGAACAAACAGAAAATGAAAAACATGATTGATTGACACGTTTCCTACATACGCATATACATAAGATATATATCTTCTATATTGGGCTTAAACATGCAATTAAATAAGAGAAACAGTATGTCTCTGGTAAATTCTTTTATAGACGATATTTCCTTTCATTTTCTTTTATTGAAATATTCCTAAAACCACAGATTGAAAAAGAAAACGAGAGAAATATTTTTTGCAAACATTCAATCATTTGTCTCTGACGCCTTCAGACATATATATTTCTGTTCTTATATTTTTTTCTGAATAAGCCATTTTTCTTTGCCTGGTGTTAATATGTATTGAGAAGAGACAATTAACAATAGAAATATATTTACCCGTCGCCTTTGAAAAAAATCATGTTGCCGTTATATTGATAGACCCATTGTCCTTTTTTTTTTATTCATCGTCTCTCTTCTGCTAAAAAATTTACATTATTCTAGGAATGTGTTTGACAGATGCATTTGGCAGCTCACAGTGACATTATAGAACTTTAGTAGTTGTCAAAAACATATATTAAAAAAAAACGGTTGAATGACGCTCACATGCTTACAGGTATATTTTGGCGAAGTAGAAAATTAAACATAAACACGTAAAATATTACAAGGATGTATAAAGGTGAATAACTTGTTGAAATTGATTAAAAGAAAGGAGAGAATATGATTGGTATGAAAGATACTCATCAAATCATAACTATCATCATCATATATATATAAGTATAGAAGAGTAATGCACATCATATCGCTTGATGTATTTTTTTTTTCTGTCTCGCTTTATATTATTGTATTCATATATAACTGCCTTGTCTATCTACGTTTTCTAGAGCCAAAGTGTTAAAAAGAATGAGTTGATCGATGGATTTATATTTTATTTATTTTAGACATGTCTTTTTCTCACAATTTTCTTTTCTTTTGATGTGTATCATACAATTCATAAATATCTCTTTTGTTCATTGTTACAATCACCACTAGAGCATATTCTCTTGAGAAAGTAACAATAAAACTTATATACATATTTTTGTAGTTCTTAAAATAATGTTAAAATTGATATATATTTTTATTTTCTTGCAGAGGCGTATTCGATTTTTTTCTTTGATTAGTATATGATTATATCTTTAATAAGAAAAATATTTTTTTTCTACTAGTCTTTTTCTTAATAATAAAATTCAATTATTAATGTTACAAAATGTCATACGCTGTTTAGTTATCTAATGTTAATTTTTGTTTCTTTTTTCTAGATATTCCAATGAACATTAGATGAAATGAATGAATCATTTTTGAGCAACAATCGCTCGGCATTTTTCACTTCCACTATCATTAGTCGAAGTACAACTAGTAGAATACCATATCGTGAACAAGTTTTAATTGATGCATTTAATACATATATTCAAATTGGCATTGGCAGTCTATTATTTTTATTTGGTCTTACATTTAATTGTTTAAGTCTACTTTATTTTCGAGCATCACGTAGTTTTCGTCATACAACATTTCAACTTTATTTTTCAATTATATCAATACTTGATACAATACGATTATTTGAATTTTTTATATTTGTTTTATTTGATAAAGGCTATCTTAGAGTGACATTACCATTATGTCGTTGGGTATTTTTTTCTATTATGTTTACTGGACAGGTAATTATTTTTCTTTTCCAAAAACCAAAAAAGAAAAAAGTTCTATTGGTCTAAATTCAGAATGACAACGTTTAGATCAGAGATGATATAGATCATAACATATCTTCTTCATTTCTTGTGTACTGTCTATTCATGTCATATTCTAAAGATATTTTTGGAAGATATAATTGAATCAGCCTTATTCTGAGAATAGAAAATGAAAAGATTTATGCATGCACAAGAAAAAGATCAAAATTGATGTTGGCTTTTTTAATCTTATAAATTAATAAAGGTTTATTTTCCATATAACAATAAAGTCTTTCTTAATAAAAAATGCATCATGAACAATTGATCTAATAAAAACTATTAGCATCAAGAAAAATGTATTTGATTATTAAACTTTAATATAGAAAAATAAAAGCAATTTACAAACAAATATAACATGATGAAATACGTATATATAATTAAAAATCGTTCTTCTATATAATCCTTAACTAAAATATTATCGAAAAAAAAATTAAAATAACATAGACATTGTAATAGGATTAAATCTCATTATGTTTGTTTTTCTTCTATTCAGGCTAGTATTTGGTTAACAGTTGCATTGGCTGTCGAAAAATGTATTATTATATGGTTTCCAATAAAAGGTCGTTTATGTTTTACAATATCAATATCAAAAATTGTTCTTATTATTGTTCTTTGTCTTGTCTTTGCTGCTAATGTTATTTATTTATTACCAAGTTTTTTTTTACATGCTTATGAAAATATTTCAATACATACATTTATGTGTGTATGGCAAACAGGAAGTCAATCATCGAAAAATAAATATGATCAGTGGAAAAAACACTATTTTACATTTAATACAATATTTTTTCATTCGATTATACCATCAATATTATTACTTGTTATAAATTGGTTAATTTTATATAGTTTATCACGACAACGTATTATTTTATCAAAAATTGGTTCAATTGATACACGACATGTTTTAAAACGAGAAAAACAATTTAAAGAGAAAACTATACAACTTGTACTTTCGTCATTTTTTGTAATTTTTACCATATCACCAAGATACATTTTAACAATGGTTAATGCATTTGCAGCTAATATTAGTAGAGCACCATTGATGCCATTATATATCTATGTCAATCTAAATACTGTATTTCGTGTCCTCGAAATGTGTAATTATTCACTTAATCTTATGTTTGCTATTATGAGGTATGAATAGATATATTATAAAGTCATTAGAACAAGTTTCTTAATCAATTATCATTATTTTATTTTTTACAAATTTTTCTTTTGTTCTAGTGGTCGAACATCACGTCGTGAAATACGTAAATTACTCTGGGAAAGTTTATTTTGGCGGTTTAAAAGAGTTAAATCCGGTCGTCGCGGTTCAAAAATGAACACTCATTCATTTCTATTCGATGACGATGATGATGATACAGAACGTTCCATAGGTACAACAGTAGGAGCTACATCGTATTGTCCGTTAACAATGCAATCACAAAGTCGTCCGAATTGTTTATCTCAACAAAGTAATCATATCAATAATAATAATAATAATAATAATAATAATAATACAATTCAACCCACACAAAAATCTTCATTTTTTACTTGTTGTGGTTTTTCAATTGATTTATCACGTAAACATTCATTACATTCATCAAGTGGTGATATGACATCGCGTCGTTCAACAGTACAGAAATCTAGTATAAATACTTTTAGTAATAATCATAATAATTCTCCAAGAAAGTCTCGTACTTATTCTCACTCACCAAAATCATCATCGCAATTTGATCGTAATTTACGACAACAACAAACTGTTTGTTATAAATCAAACCATGACAATAATCGAACAGCAACACGACGGCGTGCTTCAGCAGCTGTACATTGTTTTCAACATTTACCTTCATCAACAGTAACATCAATTACGAATCAATCATTAAGATTGAATACAAATTCACCATCAATTCCTCAATTGATAACGAAAGACAAAAAAAATTCATCTATTGAGATATTACCAAATACTAGTTCCGATTCAACTTCAGCAACAGTCGATGTAAATAATACAAATATAAATTCATCAAAAGACATAACAGAGTCTATAGGACTTGTACAAAATCATATAGAAGAACAACTATTACCAGCCTATATTGTTGAAACATGTTGATTATCTGTTATTTTCTACACTAGCTGTATTTTTTATCTTCCTTTTTTTCTCTTTAGACTCGAATTTTTTTTTCTTTCGTGTTTACACTTTCGAACAGTGGCTAAATAATGATGACAATGATATGAGCAAAAAGAAAAAAAATAGAATAATGAAACAAAAATATGATATAATAATGATAATAATGATACTGCGAATTTTATTACTTTGTTTGCAGGTTGACAGTGTATATAAATATATTTTGGGATTGATTGTTTCATATCTATGATAATTTCAATAAATTTATAAATATTCAATTGTGATTTAAACTAGATGATGTTAGGAGAATTTTTTCAATTCTTTATAAAAATTGATAAAAAGTATGAGTAATAAAAAATAAAAACAATCAGTTAAGTGCATCATTACTACTGTTTTTCGCCTATTTTATATTCAGTACAAAAAATAACTCTAAAAATGTAATAACGGATGCGCCATAGATGCTGATATAGTTTATATTTTTGACTCATTTCGGTCAAGGTTGTCGAGTGCTAATTGTGATTAGTCTCAAAATATTCGCTTTTCGTTTCTCTACAAAATTGCGTCGCAGCTCTACATGTAACCTTCAAAGCAGTAAGTAAGAATTGAACAATACTCAAGTTCTCTAATATTCAACCATTTCTAGCATACAACAACCTCTATTCGAGCTTTTGTTTACTACCACTTAAGTTTTTTAGAAGATATTTATGTATCATCTATCAGTCGATTGGTGGCTGCGCCTACAAGTCTTTAACGGTAAATTATTTGATATCAATATTTAGAAGGATTAGCCTTTCTTATTAAAGTTTACGATAGCCATCAATTTGAATCCATTCAGTTAAACATTATGAAAATTTGATGAAAGACGATCAGAATGAAATATTTCAACGTAAAGTTTTGATTAATTTGCAAGAAAGTCGATGAAAACGAAGATGTACCACTTATATGATAAAAGTTCAAGGTTGTACTTAGTGAAAATGAATATTTCCACTAAATATAGAGTTTGCCACTTAATGTAAATATAATTTGTTTCTTTATCACTATGTCCTTCGAAAATGTCTGTCATCGCACAAAAAAATAGAAATTTGTACCTATTGCCACAATAAAGTTTCTATACCATGTCTTGCCCGTCCAAAGCAAGATAGTACAGTATCATATATTGTTTGGAAAACATTCTCCACAAATCGATACATATCAGAGAGGCTCGATCTTCTTCAATTCTTTCGCCAACTTTGAAGATTAGATCAAATATTCTCGTGTGATTTTATAGAAAATTGAACAACAAATCGTTTGAAACCAAGCATAATTTTCGACCTACAAACGTAGATATGATAGAAAGAAAATACGAATGGTGCCATGATTTATGGCGCACCCGTTACTTTACAATTCAGTCGTCCTCACAACTAAGTGCTCTTTATTTAATATAACCTTGACAAAAGAAAATATTATAGGAAAAAGAACATTGAAAACAGCTGGCTTCAGAATATAGAAGTCATTTACAATTAATCAAATCAGTGGAGTCAATAAAGAAACTTACAACTATTCGAAATCATAGTGAACCGACAGAGATTCATTGAAATCGATTATTGATACATTTGAAAGAATGTCTTAAATAAGTCTTCTATCGATTAAAAATTTATTTTAAAAATAAAATCGAATTTTCTACTTCAATAATAACTTATTATTCACACTTTCTCTGCACATCTAAACTCAATAACTAGCGAAGGAACATTCCTCAAGTATTAAATAGCTTTTGAGTGTGGGCTATATGCATTATATAGATTCTAATGAGATATAAATACTCTGAAAAGAGTTCGGTCTAATAACTGATTACTGCCGAACTACTTTATTTTTACTATATCTCATCAGGAAGACCAGGAAAAGTGAATTTTGAATTTCGACTTGAAAGTTTGTATAAAGATACACATTAATGAGAATAGTTTATTGTAAAACTTTCAGATCTTTAGATTGTTTCTATTCTAAGATACGGCTATGGTGAAGTTATATTTTTTACAACGTTTATATACAACAGCAAAATTCGATGCTCTTATTTTTGAATATGAGCAATTAGAAAGCCCGACACTTTCATAATAAACAATTCTCACGAAGGCCTACTTCTATGCAAAGTTTCAATACGATATTCGAAACTCAGTTTTTCTGTATTTCTGAGAAGAACCACGATATTCTACTAAAAACTACAGTAAAAATATAGTATCTTGACAGCAATAAACTATTAACCCGAACTCTTTTCAGAGGATCTACATAAAATGCTAATTAATCCAATGAATAATATCTAATCGTATCATCTTCATTAAATACTCACCTGAGAAGAACTCTTCTATTAATGATGGAATATTATTCGCATTGTCTTCATATATCGACTTAATTATTTGTAAGTTCTCATACATTATTTGCATTCCATATTAGAGAACCAAATATGGTACTTGAATAATATAATGCTCTTAAATACCATAGATAATATTTTGCTAATATGCTTATCTTATTCATTAGTTATAATATATCCTCAAGATATTCTACGACAATCTATTTTACAGCATATTAGCTTTTAATCTATAAGGTCTACGTAGCCGTAGGTGATTTACTCAAAATCATTTCAGATGTGATTAAAGAAAAAAGAACAACTGTTACTCTCAGTTCCATGTACCCATAAAACACTATGTTCAAACTTCGGTACCACCAGCTGTGGGATGCCGCTAGACAAGTCACTAACAATTGTTTGTCTCGAATTACTCTGGCCGGTAGCATGTTGATTACGTTATAACATACACTTGCTCTTACGACTAGTGTGTGTGTTTAGTCAGTGTGTATGAAGGAACTCAAGTAATTGTGCATCAGAGCGAACTTCTGTTCAAAGTTACAGCTAATATTTATTGTAGGAAAGATATTGAACTATTAAATGTACTGCCTGGCAGCGTCTCATACTGCAATATATGTTAAAAGACAGTAGTATTCTTCGTTCTTGCTACTCTCAGTTTATTAGTTTCTTTTTTTTTTAGTTTCTCTCTCAAAGTTAATTCATTTTATTTTACATATCGAAAAAAGTTAGAATGATTAGAATTGATTTTGACATTTAACACTATTTTTAAGATAAAAATATTTATCAAGATTTTATTTCACATTTACTCTTTGTATTATAATTATTTTATTTCATCATTGAATATTTTCTTTTGAATATTAAATACAAAACATATCTATCATGATATATATTGATTCATTCTAGATCAATCATTGATTTCATTTTTCCATTTCAGCAACTAATTTTCTTTTCAACAATAGAACGTGAGAAAGAAAGAAAGAAAGAAAAATAAAAGAAAACATGACACGAAACTCTACTGACTTTGTTCATGTAAATATTAAGAACACATATCATTTGATCTCAATTTTTTTTTATCAATAGTTTAATAAAATTGACAAGTGCATTAAATGAAAAGATGAATATAAACATATATATATATATATATAAAAGATCAGTCACGACTATCATTAACTTTAATTTATAATGAAAAAAAAACAAAATGCACACGTTTATTTAAATTAATATTGACAATAAGAAAATGATAATAAGAAAACAATCTATAAAAATTTTTGAGCATTTTGAAGTAACATTTTCAATTATAGTAACTTGTCGTAAATAATCTAAACTTGTTAATGATGAATAATTTTGTCTTGTTGCTACTCGATGAGGATGTAATGATGATGGACGTCGATGAAAATATTTAAAAGATGAACGAACTGTAGATGATACAATTGTTCGTAATGTTTGTGTTGTGATTATTTTTGTTTCTTCTATATTTGAAATACAATAAGTTTGATCATTTTTTTCAATTCTTTCTAAATTTATTTCACAATATCCATGTTCTATTGACATATAAAAATATACGGAACGAAAAAGATCTTTAATTCGAATAAAATTATCTTCTTGACAATTTAATTGAAAATATTTATATAAACAACATAATGTTTCACGTATTTTCGTACAGCGAAATGATTGATCATCGCAATTATATGAATTACAAAGTAAATGATAATGACATTGCTTAGGTATACGATATATATGTTGATTAATTAATATATTTGAACAATAACTTTCATTCGATAATAAATTATTATCAATACGAAGTAAATAAAATGAATTCGATGCAAGACAATTTATAATTGGACTTAATAAAAAAACAATAACTAATAAAATTATTTTCTTCATAATCATTATCAAAAATCTAAATATATAAAATAACACAAAACTTATCAATTAAGAAGAAAATTTGCATGACGAAGACACGCCTAAAGGGCCGACTTGTGATCATACAACGTTGCTTGAACTCTCATTACCCTCTCTCTCTTTCTACACCATATATACAGATAAATTATTACAACATATATGACAAGAAATGAGCAGATGTTTGCAGGCACGCTTTCATCCCAAAAAAAAAAATCTCGATTGCTCTCACCTCAAACATCAATATCAATGAAACATTATTATGGGCCAAAAAAAAAAGGAAACGGGACTGAACATAAGTTTGACTACCTAATTGTCCGCATCGAACATGACATTAAATGACGGTCGGACGCAAACGATCGTTGTTGTTGAACTAATATATTTTTTGTCTCTAGTGAATAGAACTCACTTGTATGATTGCGAAATCGGCAGCATCTTAATTATATTATATATGTTAACGTACAATATGTAGACAGTTCAGTCAATCGATTGAAGAGTACAATATTCTCGTACATTTATATTTTTATATACATAAATTGACTCAATTTCTTGTCAACAAGTTCATGTCATAAATATTTTATACTATCTTTTCATGGACGCAGCGATTAGAAAAGAAAGTAGGAAAGGCCATCAATTTCCTTAACATATCCAATTTATGAACAATGTATTTGTTAAATAAGAAGAAAAATAATAATAATAGCTACTGTCGCAGACATATTCAATTATGTGTTTAACGAAGGAGAATACAGAC